GCAGTGTTTATCCATGGTGAGCAAAATGAACTGCAACGAGCGTTTACGGTGGATAATGATTTCATTACCTTTCATCACAGGAGATTTAAGGATACTGCCATTTAAGATGCGGAATTTGGGAAAGGACCAATCGTAAAAGAAGGACTGTAAAAACAGTCATATCTTTGTAAAGGATCTGTCCATGTATAAACTACTGGCTAGCTGTTCGGGGCGCGCTAGGCAGGGGGCTCATCCATCGAACCCCTGGTAAAAATTGGCGATAGGAGCTGCGTTTCAAAATACCATAGGAGTTCTTATAGCCGACTGAAGAAGGCGATAGAAAATCATATAGCTCGCTGTAGAAAGTGGAAAAAATTATACGGCCGGGCTACACGAAGCGATTAAAAATTATACAGCCGGGCTATAGTTCCTAACGCCGGGCTTTACACTTTATCGCCGGGCTTTACACTTTATCGCCTGGCTGTTGCTTTTTCGCCTTCAGCAATAAAAGGCTATAAAAAATTGTGTAGAAATCCGTGTGCTTTGTAAATCCTTAAGTTTGTACGGAATCACTTTAATATTTACAAAACGCACATTATATTTTCCTTTACTACATATTTTTTTTCATAAATTAAAATGAGAGTAATCCATACAGAGTGTGCAAACATTTCAAAGTTATGAGTTGAAAAACGCTGACTCCACGAGATTAAATATTAGAGCCTAACATAAAGCGGAGTGGCGGCGCACTGGCGCCTACAAACCTAACAGGGGTACTTCACGCATTACGCAATGCGTGAAGTATCCCTGATAGGTTTGTAGGCGCCAATGCGCGTTTCGCGCTGGCTGCCCGCCCGCCCGCCGCGCCGCGCCGCAGTGTACCACGGCGCTTGAAGCAACTATTTCACACCAGAGGTATTGCACAGTATCATACGAAATTGAAGGCGCTCCAACATATTAGGAATGGCAGGCATCCTTCAAAAGAACGGAGCTTTCCTCGCAAAATAAATCAAGATACCACGGCCCAAAAAGAGAGCGGTAGTCCATAAACTCACTAAGTCCTAGCATCCGTAATTAGTAACGTTTAGCATACACTTTATCGCCAGGCTGTTGCTTGATCGCCATCGGCTATAAAAGGATATAAGAAATTGTGTTGCCGGCTATAGAAGCTATTGGAAATCTTACAGCCGGATGTAGGTGTATGGTATTTTGGAACACAGATTCTACTGCCAATTTTTGCCAGGGACTGCACTTGATTAATCAGCTCATAGGCTCTTATAAATTTATTTTTTCCGCTGTTTATTATCTATTATAGATTTAATAGTTTAGAATGGGCTCTTTGCAGACGGGCCCAAACCAAGTCCACAAAGAGTGAAGATTAAAGCGAAGATTTACACGAGGGGGAAATGCAGGAGGAGGAAAAACATCTAGGTTTAGTAGATTATTTAAGGGGGAGGGAGCAACGAGGAACGAAAAATGTTCAATTGTGGAGCGGTGCATATTGATAATGCTGCTCATTGTGGACGCAAGAAAGCTCTGGTTATGTTATGTATACGGGATCGAAGCTTTTTGGACTGAGTATGAATGTAAACGGGGAGCTGCGTGACCGTTTTAGGTTATCCATGAATGTGTGAGGTGTTAAACCTATATTATCATTTTTAATCACGTGGTTTACTTTTGTGAAACTTTTGATGATTTAAATGTTGTATTTTTTTAGTGTATTTTCCGAAGGAAATACATTCAAATCCAATAATTAATTTTTATTTATTTTTCGTGATTATTTTTTGTTATCTTATTTTAATATGCACTTGAACAGTGAGGAAA